CCTCCCCCCACCCCTTGTTCCTTAACAGAAGCCTCCCCACAAAAAAAGGTAGCTGCATATGTCTAACACTATATATTCAACCAATTTACTATCTCTCTTTTAATATTATCTACCCAATATCTAACTTATCCCATCTAAATTTATATTTTAATATCTGAGACCGGTGATAAAATCTAATCTAATATCTAACTTTTAATCAGGTCGACCTTCCTAATATCTTTCTCTCATATCTAATCTAGTCTCCATCTAGCACATTGATTTTCTTTTTCCTTGTTACCATCTAAGAGCGCAAGTAAGTAGAACTCTGCTGGGTCAGGCAAGAGGCCTATCGAGTCCATCATCCTGTTGTCACAGTAGCCAGCCAGTTGCCTCTTTTGGGAAACCCACAAACAGGTATTGAGTGCCCCCCGCATTATTTTCACACTTGTGATTTATTTAGTTATTGTTTATATACCACTCTTTATCATAAGATTGTAGGGCGATTCACAGAATGAAATACAGGATAAAAACAAGTAAATAAGTAAAACAAAACAGCAAAACAATAACCTCCCCCCTTTCCCTCAGACACATTTAAAAGTCTGTAGAATATTAATTCTAGACAGCATCTTAAAAAGTAGAGACATCACCTTGCCAACAAAGGTCTGTATAGTTAAAGCTATGGTTTTCCCAGTGGTAATGTATGGAAGTGAGAGCTGGACCATAAAGAAGGCTGATCGCTGAAGAATTGATGCTTTTGAATTATGGTGCTGGAGGAGACTCTTGAGAGTCCCATGGACTGCAAGAAGATCAAACCTATCCATTCTTAAGGAAATCAGCCCTGAGTGCTCACTGGAAGGACAGATCCTGAAGCTGAGGCTCCAATACTTTGGCCACCTCATGAGAAGAGACGACTCCCTGGAAAAGACCCTGATGTTGGGAAAGTTGGAAGGCAAAAGGAGAAGGGGATGACAGAGGATGAGATGGTTGGATAGTGTTCTCGAAGCTACCAGCATGAGTCTGACCAAACTGCGGGAGGCAATGGAAGACAGGAGTGCCTGGTGTGCTCTGGTCCATGGGGTCACGAAGAGTCGGACATGACTAAACGACTAAACAACAACAACAACAGAATATTAATTAGCCAAAGGCCTGGTTGAAGAGGAATGTTTTCGCCTGGCACCTGAAAATATATAATGAAGGCACCAGGTGAACCTCCCTAGGGAAAGCTTTGAACAAACAGGAAGCCACTACAAAAAAGGCCAGTTCTTGTGTTGCCACCCTCTGGACGGTATGTGGAGGAGGCACATGAAGAAAGGCCTCAGAGGATGAACACAGAATCTGGGATGGTTTATATGGGGAAAGGCAGTCCTTCAGATATTGGCAGTCCTAAGCCATGTAAGGCTTTATAGGTCAAAACCAGCACTTTGAATTGGGCCTGGAAACTCAATGGCAGCCAGTGGCAATCAAGCCAGGATCGGTGTAATATGCTGAAAAATATATATGCTTGCGATTCAAAGCAACTGGCATTCAGAAGCATACTGCCTCTGTATAATTTTATACACTTCCATCAAGTCACCTTTTACCTGCTGTTTCTCTAAACCAGTGGTTTTCAATGGTATGGCCTGTCACACTGGTGTGGCAGGAAAGGGTAGCAAGTGTGGCGGAAAGATTCAAGGACAATCAAAGAAACATTTAAATATTTCAGTGTAGTATAGTATGGTATCAAAATAGTTTCTTTTGCATATACAACCAGAAACAGCATCCACGCCTCTCTTCAAGACCATTGGCCATTCTTCTAGAGCAGGGGTCAGCAAACTTTTTCAGCAGGGGGCCAGTCCACTGTCCCTCAGACCTTGTGGGGGGCCGGACTATATTTTGAAGAAAAAATGAACCAATTCCTAATAACCCAGAGATGCATTTTAAATAAAAGCACACATTCTCCTCATGTGAAAACACCAGGCAGGCCCCACAAATAACCGAGAGATGCATTTTAAATAAAAGGGTACATTATACTCATGTAAATGTGGGAATGTTCAGGGATGCAGGAGAGGATATATTGTGAGATTATATCCTTATCCAACTTGTGCTAACAAGTTCCCAAAATATCAGCAGAGTTAATAGACATTCCCCTTTTAAATTCGCAACGGTAACGTGTGCTCAGGTTCGCTAGAACCTCTATAATAATTACTCTGGTAATTTCCCCTTTGTTCCCTCTTAAAATACAAGACACGACACAGTCTTTCATAAAAGTATAAAAGAGTTTACTCACGTTCTGTTCACAATATGATCCCAGAAGGCAGAAAGGCTTAAAAAGGTAAAATACATTTAGAATCTATCTTACAGGAAGATAGTCCTTTTCTCCTCTCTTGGCTGGGAGCCAAGAGGGCATGTTGCTTCTTTGAAAGATGAAGATGAGAGAGAGAGAGATGGCTGTCCTGCCCTGTGCTTTTATCATTACCTGCACAGGTGAGGCCACACCCACCTCTGGTCACATGCGGAGGAAGTCTGTCCCAGGAAGTTTTCCTGCTGGCTGGACAGACATCCCTCCCCATGTCTTAACATGTACACTCTAGGAATGTTGTAATTGACTGCTCCTGTGTTTTACATCCCACAGTAAAAATATGCTGATTCCCAGGCTGTCTGCGGGCTGGATTTAGAAGGCTATTGGGCCGGATCCAGCCCCCGGGTCTTAGTTTGCCTACCCATGTTCTAGAGTTCTCCACAACATATTTCAACTCTGACAAATATGAAAGATCAGAAAAGGCAAAGGCTTCTTTGTGTTGATGAGGAGTTTGCTTGTCTCAAATTAGACCTATTTAAATGAGATCACCCAGCAAACTCATACCTCCCACTGAGTTTGTATACATACTTAAGGTACATATGTAAGAGGCTTGTTTATCATTATATTTTGGGAGTGATTCATGTTCTTCTGCAGTTTATACTTTCTGGATGTCCCATGACCATATTATAAAGCAGTTGTGTTCTATGTTATAAAACAAGCACTGCTTTTTGCTTTCCAATGTATTTCTTATCAATAAGAAATTCAGTGTGGCGCTCGCAAGTTTTTATTCTGAAAATGTAGCCCAGAGAAAAAGTTTGAGAACCACTGCTCTAAACTATAAAGTCCCTTTCCACATAGAAGAGTTCCTCCAACCCCGTGATGATATTGGTTGCTCCTTTCTGAATCTTTTCCAGCTCTACAATATCCATCTGGAGGTGACGGTGACCAGAACTGTGCACAATATTCCAAATGGAATTGCACCGTAGATTTGTATAGTGGCATTATTACATCAGCCACTTTTTATTTTCTATTCCTTTCCTAATGATCTGCAAAGTAGCATGGAATTCAGCTTTTTCCACAGCCACCCCACAGTGGTTTGACATCTTCATTGAGCTGCTATCCACAATGACTCCAAGCTCTCACTCCTGGTCAGTCACTGACAGTTCAGATCCCATGAGTGTATGGCTGTAGCCAGGACTTATGTTAAGGGGGGAAGGAGACCCACCTGTCATCATCCTCTGTCTGGCTCTGTCTAGCAGATTCGGAATGAAATGTCTCGACAATAACTGTTTTAAATTTCTTTCGACTCGACCCCAAGTGCTCAGAAAAACCTGTCAAAATCTTTCTACAATTTCTACTTTTAGTTAAGTATCTTTATGTATTTACTTGATATAGGGGGCAGCTGCCCCTCTCCCTGGCTACGCCCATGCATAAACATATATGTGAAAATAAGATTGTTATCATTTTGCTCCTATATGCATGTTGACAAAGAATTGCATTTGCCATTTTACCACCACTCCCTCCATTCACTCAGTTTAGAGAGATCCTTTGGGAGCTCCTCACACCCCCATTTTGTCTTAAGGACCCCCAAAAGTTTGGTGTCATCAGCATACCTGGCCACCTTACTGCTCACTCTAGATAATTTATGAAAAAGTTAAAAAGCAAAAGTCCCAATACCGATCCTCAATAATAATAAAAAAATATTATTTATCCCCTGCCCATCTGGCTGGGTTTCCCCAGCCACTCTGGACGGCTCCCAACAGAACATTAAAAACACGCTAAAACATCAAACATTAAAAAAAAGAAACCCTAAACATGGCTGCTTTCAGGTGTCTTCTAAAAGTCAAAAATGTTTATTTCCTTGACATCTGATGGGAGGGCATTCCACAGGGCTGGCGCCACCACCGAGAAGGCCCTCCTCTGTCTGGTTCCTGTAACCTCACTTCTCGCCGGGAGGGAACCACCAGAAGGCCCTCAGAGCTGGACCTGTGTCTGAGCTGAAGGATGGGGGTGGAAACGCTCCTTGGGAGAATATACTTTCTAAATCCCTCCATCAGAAGAACTATCCCCTTATTCCTGCTCTCTGGTTCCTGTTACTTAACCTCACCTTGCCACAGTATAGCTGCTTATACCACCTAGTGTGGCCTGGTGTCAAAAGAAAGGATGCTCAGCCCCTTGAATAGTTGTGCAGAAAGGGGAGGTTCCGTAGGAATTACCTGTAAAACTGAAGAAAGTTTGTGATCCCATGACTGCAAATAAAAAGAGAAAAATGACAGGTTATAAAATACAAAAGTTCATTAAAAAACAGCAGGCTGCGAATAATAATAAAAAAGCAACCCTAAATTGTCTTAAGCGAAATTGCTGTAATTTTGCAACTTGCTCTGTGATTATTATTATTTCTAATAGAAAATGGAGCTCTCCGGTAAAATGATCAACAGAAGCTCTGATGATTGACCTGGGAAGGACTCTGTGAGGGTTTATGTCATAGTTTCCTTAGCCCCCCGGTAAAAACTGTGATTAAGTAGTGCACGTAAAAGTGACTCCACCTGTTCATTATTACAAGGACAGTATCTATTATTTAAAGGAGCTTTATTACATCTGTGCTCTAAAAGCTTTGAGGGCACACCAAGAAAGAAAGCTCTTAGGAGTAGGTAACCTGTTTAAACCTGTTTAAATAGAATTAAGACTTGGAAAACTCAGATATGCGATGTTGGGAGAGGACATAACAACGCTCCTGTGCTGTGCGGCTCAGTGGTACAGCATCTGCTTTGCATGCAGAAGGTCCCTGATACAATTCCTGGCAACTTCAGGTAGGTTTGGGAATATCCCCTGTCCCCGAAGAGACTGCTACCAGTCAGAGAAGACAACACTGAGCTATGAAGGAAATGTGTCTGACTTGGTCTGCTTCCTGCATCTCAATACAGCTTTTATAGGTTGGCCTCTGTTAGTCTCTGTTTAGCAATATGCTTGACTTGCTCACGGGACGCGGGTGGTGCTGTGGGTTAAACCACAGAGCCTAGGACTTGCCGATCAGAAGGTTGCCGGTTCGAATCCCCAAGACGGGGTGAGCTCCCATTGCTCAGTCCCTGCTCCTGCCAACCTAGCAGTCTGAAAGCACGTCAAAGTGCAAGTAGATAAATAGGTACCACTCCAATGGGAAGGTAAACGCGTTTCTGTGTGCTGCTCTGGTTCGCCAGAAGCGGCTTAGTCATGGTGGTCACATGACCCGGAAGCTGTACGCCGGCTCCCTCAGCCAGTAAAGCGAGATGAGCGCCGCAACCCCAGAGTCGGTCACGACTGGACCTAATGGTCAGGGGTCCCTTTACTGACTTGCTCACAGTTCATAAGTTCATATCATAGAATTTATAGATTCATAGTGCTGGAATGCAATGCAGGATTACGCCGCTGTCACATACAGGGATCGAACCTGCAACCTTGGCGTCATCACCACCACACTCTAACCAGCTGAGCTATCCAGGATGACTTCTAATGGGCAGTGTCTAGGCACCATGGCTGTGTTCTCCCTCCACTGTCAGAGGCATTAGGCCTCCAAATGCTAATTGCTGGGAATCACAGGTGGGCTGTTGAGCTCATGCCCAGCTTGTGGACTTTGCACGGGCATCTGGTTGGCCACTGTGGGAACAGGATACTGGACTAGATAAGCCATTGGCTTGATCCAGTGCCGGGTTCCTATTAGGTTCTTACATTATTAGTCTTCTGTCTGATTTTCATGCTTCAGCACTGGTGGTAGTTTGTTTTTGTTTTTAATGAAGTTTATTAAGCAATCCAGCATGACTCCCTGGTCATTTTCAAGTGGTACTGGGACTTTGAAACCCTCTGAGTTCAGGCTCAGGAACTCTCTCCCTTTTCCTTTTTTTAATTTATATATATATATTAATTTATACTTTTCAGATATATACATTTCACTGATTTTACAATCATTTTGGCATTTTAAAACTTGACTTCCTTCCCACTCTTACTGAGGTTCCTTAAATTTATTTTTAATATCTTCTGCATATCCAAATTAACTTAACTTACTCATTTATTTATCTTCTATATATATATATATATATATATATATATATATATATATATACACTCTTATGTAGCTGCAGGTTATTACAATAATTCTGCCAGTGTTTTTATCTGTTTACAATTTATCTGTAAATATTCAATAAACCATTCCCATTCTTTTATTAAAAGTTTGTTATCTTGATTTCTTATTCTTCCGGTAAGTTTCGCCAGTTCTGCATATTCAATAAGCTTTTGTATCCATTCTTCCTTTGCTGGGACTTTCCTCTCTCCCTTTTCCAGTGCCAGATTAAACCCTGTGTAGGGCCCCTAGGTTAAACCACAGAGCCTAGGACTTGCCGATCAGAAGGTTGGCGGTTCGAATCCCCGTGATGGGGTGAGCTCCTGTTGTTCGGTCCCTGCTCCTGCCCACCTAGCAGTTCGAAAGCACACCAGTGCAAGTAGATAAATAGGTACCGCTCCGGTGGGAAGGTAAACGGCGTTTCCATGCACTGCTCTGGTTTGCCAGAAGCGGCTTAGTCATGCTGGCCACATGACCCGGAAGCTGCACACCGGCTCCCTTGGCCAATAAAGCGAGATGAGCGCCGCAACCCCAGAGTCGGCCATGACTGGACCTAATGGTCAGGGGTCCCTTTACCTTTACTAGGGCCCCTAGGCAGTTGAAATCTCAGGGGGGCCTCTCTCCTAACACGGTTTTTATTTTACCAGCCAACAATTTTAATAAACCAATTCTATTACACAAAACAAATCAATATTATTTTGATTTGTTCTCGAGGGGCCCCCCAAAAGGTGTGGGGCCCGTAGGCCAATGCCTACTCTGCTTATTTGGTAATCTGGCCCTGCTCTCTTCGCATCTGGGCTCCCTGCACCAAACAAATCCCATTCCTGGAGCCTCAGGGAGTCCTGGCCACCTTTTCCATCACCCCCCTCGAGGGCCATCACACCAACTATTTAGGTCTTTCCCACTATTTATAGCAAAAAAAACCTCCCCACCTCTTCCTTCAATGGAGCTTCAGACTTGCCCCAGACTGGCCTTCCTCTCTCCCCCCCTCACCCCAATAATTTCTTCTTCTTTTTAAGGGAGGGGGGAGAGAAAAGCAACCTGCCAAGCTCAGGCGTTTGGCTGTGTCTTCCCTGCCTCCCCCCCCCCCCTTTCCTCCTTGGTGCAGCTTTCTGGTGAGAGAGAGAGAGAGAGACCCATGGAACTTTATTTAAAAGGAAGAAGAAGAAGCAAGCCCATAGAGGGCCGACACAATGGGGGTTTTATTCAAATTTGTTTAGAGTTGAACGGATTTGCATGGAAAATGTGTGAGAAAAGACGGCGCCAATGACCTCATCCCCAGCTGCTATTAACGTTCAATTATACGCTGAATAGAAGGCACTGGGAGAACAGACTTGGACGTGCAGAGAATCCAGGTTGGGACGGGAAAGTGTGAGAAACTGCTCCTGCTAACCCCCCTACCCACCCCTTTCTCCTCCCTCCCCTTCAGCAGCGCCCCTCTCCCTCCTCTGGAGGAATGCAGGGAGGGGCGCGGAGCCCAGAGCAATCCAGAGCTGGCTGCTCCCCCCACTCAAAAAAAAACCCCCAGTTACGTTGTACTCAGGGGATGGGGAGCGGAGGAAGATGCTGTTCTAAGTGCCCTTCTTCTTTCTCCCCTCCCATATCTTAAAACAAATCTGAAAAAGTTGGCCAGAAGAGCGTTTCCTGCATCACTGGACTGTCTACTCCCCGCAAGACTTTTAAATAAAGACCCCTTCCCAACACACACACACACACATATCGATGCCTTGAAAATATGATGATGCCCAAAAAACGCACCTACTAGGGAGTAAACCTCGCTGACCACAATAAGATCAGCTTCCGAGGAAATGGTTCAGGAGTGCCAACTTGAATAAAATATTTTTTAGGGGGGCAGTAAGTTCTGCCCTGCATAATCAATCACATGATATGGCGGGCACACACTATTTGAATGACAATGTCTATCAACTTTTTGGGAGACCCTCAAATATTTTATGTGGGGGGCAAAGGGACTTCGGCCCCTAGTAGTTGGCTCCTAGGAAACGGTTAGTCGTACACTGTGTAAACACTGTCGTCAGGAGGAAGTCCCACTGAAATCAGCAGGATTTACTTCCGTGTAAATGATGCATAATAAGCTTCAGGTTGCACAAGTGCCAAGGCACGCTTACCTGGAAGGAAGACACACACCCCCACACTTGAATGGGCGGGGTCTTCTTTCTTAGTAAGGATGCTTAGGATCCGGCTGCAAAACTGGGCTGCTAAGCGCGTCTACTTGGGAGTAAGCGTCACTAGATTGTCTGGCGGGTAAAACGTGCATGGGCCGTAGATTTTGATTCTCTCTTGGTCTCTCTCTCTCCCCCCCCCCACGCCACCAATTCTCCACAACTTTGTAACAGGCAGACTTTTAAAAATCTTGCAATCCGGGGAAGAAGAAATGTAAGGTGAAGTCAGCTTTCTAAAATAGAATTGTGAAGTAGAGCTGTTGTGGGTGTTAACAGGATGCGACAAGCGCTTGATCCGGACTCTTTGCGCCTCTAGTCGATTGCGCCACATTTTATTCGGAACGGAGTGACGGTTTCTAATGCATCTCCTCACCTTACTCCAGAAATAACATACACGCAGGCACGCATTGATTAAAAAGAAAAAAGCCCATTCCTTTTGCAACAGGACATAAAATTAAAGTTTCAAAATTTGGGGGACAATCTCTAAGAAGAGCATGCAAGTGCGGAGGGTGGGGTGGGGGTCCCCAAGAAAAGTGTGTCAAAGACTTTGCGCTAAGATTTATTTCCCAGGTACCTTTTCTTGCTTTCACCCACATTTTGTGAGGGGTGGGAAATGTTCTCCCGAGGAGGGCAAGAATAAATTATTAGAGCAACGGCTGGGTGAGAAAAGGCTGCCTTGATTGTATCTGTGAAGTGGGGGGCGAATAAAAGAAGGAGGGGTTTAATTGCATCAAGTCTGGGGTCGCACAATAATTATGCACCCCCTCAATTAACTGTGCTTTAAAGGGGAAGACACGCTCCCTCTCTTTCACACACACAAACCCAAAATGGGTGCAAAGTTTGCGCGCCCCTTCCCTCAATTAACGTTGCCTTGGGAAAACAGACATTGCGCCCCCCCCCAGCAAATCTGATTTTGCATTCCACGCAGGAACTTCGGGGGCTAGGGGGAAAAAACAGCAGCCCCCCTCAAACCCCTCTTCCCAGACCCAGACAGGCCGCCCCGAGGTGCCCCTCTACAAGGTTCTCAGGCTGTCTCAGCCTCAGACAAAGTCCCCGACTCCGAAGTTCAAGTTCAGTCGACGGGACGGGCGCTTGGCCGCGGAGCTCTCCATTCCTTTCCAGGCCCGGGTCTTTTGTTCCTCTTCTGACAATCGCTCTTTATCCATCCCTAACAACACCCTCCCCTCCCCTCCCGTCCCGTCCCCGCTTTCTTTAACTTGGCACCGTTTAGCTGCCTGGTCTGCAAAAAACTTCACAGCTCCGGTTTGTTGGTTCCCTAAGCACTCCAATTACCCCCTTTTCTCTTTCCTCACATATATGTATATCTGTATATATGCCCCGCGAGTGTCTCTCTCTACACTCGAAGGCTGTACAGGGTAGAGAAAGCCGGAGACGGGCTTCCTTCTTGCCCAAAATCCTTAAGAAGGAAGATGGGCCGTGTGTGTCTGTTTTGGCGGGGGCGGGGGCGGAGTTCCAAAGAGAGTTTCCTTTCCAAGTTTTTTTAAAATATTATTTTTTAAAAGGGCTTTCCGAAGC